CTCCTGGCTTCTCCAGACCCCACAGCCACCTGTCTACCTCCCAGCCTTTTCACACACTGCTCCCTCCACCTTGTGTGCCCTGTACCCAACTCAGAAAAGCAAACCCTGCTCACCCTCGGGAGCGACACCTCCTCCAGGAAGCCTTCCCTGAACTCTCCCAGGGCCCCCACAGAAGCCAGCAGTGTCATCTGTCTCATTGTCACAGCTTTCCTGGGCAGCCTGGGGCCCCTCCAGGAGACGACAGAAGCAGAGAAGCAGTCAGCCACCTCCTGGCCTGGGGCTGCTCTAAGCCAGCCCAACTTCTATGGGAGTAACAGGGCTCCACTGTTCTTCCACATTGGGAGAGAAGAACATCTGTGCAAAAAGACAAATCAGCCTGGGATTGCAACCCCAAGCAAAAATTAATAAACTGGGTGTGGTGACACACACCTCTGATCTCACCACTCTGGGAGACTGAGGTAGGAGGATCACGAGTTCCAGCCCAACCAGACATGGTGGCCTTCACCTGTTATCCCAGTGCTCAGGAGGCTGAGGCAGGAGAATGGCTGCAAGCTTGAGGCCAGCCTGGGCTACATAACAAGACCCAGTGTCAAAAAAAGAAAAGAGTTCCAGCCTAGCCTGGACAATTGAAGGAGACCCTGTCTCAAAACAAAAAGGAAGGGCTAGGGATGTAGCTCAGTGCCAAGTTGCTGGGTCCCAGTGGTACATAAATAAATACCTGAGAATCTTTCCAATGGACAGAAATGCATCATTCAGGGACATGAGACACAGGGAGAGCAGACAAGCCCCCACCACCACCTGTGAGGCACCCCAATAACCCATGGGGCTTCTCCACCCACGGGAGGGGGACACAGCTCCCACACTCCCAGGTGGGCTGTGCAGGGATTTCCTTCCAGCAGCCACAGCATGGCAAGGGAGGGCAAAGGGTAACTGGAGGAGAACCTGACACAGCTTCCCTCTACCCGATGGCCAAGGTCACCACACTTCACCTTGGTAGTGCGTTCCCTCTGGGCTGGGTCTGACACCAGCGCTCGGGTCTCCCTCCCAAATGCACACTATCTGCCAGGGGTAAGGGGGAGCCGTACACCTGTAATCCCAGCAGTGTGAGGCTGAGGCAGGAGGATTGCGGTGAGTTCAAGGCCAACCTGGGCTACATAATGAGTTCAAGGCCAGGCTAGTGCATAGTGACCCTGTCTCAAACAAACTAACTAACAAACGAAAAACCAAATGCACAAGATCCCAGTCTTGTCACAAGAAAATCACCAAAGGTTCCTTGAGCAGCAGTCATCAAAATGCCCAGCCTACAGAATTGAAACTGTCAGGGTCACCAGAAGCTAGGAGCACGGAGAAACTCCCAGTGCACAAAGGGAGCTGAGCAGGCAGGGGACTCAGTGTAGTGAATGTACCCCAGAGGGGACAGGTGGGGTCCTGGGAGGGAGAGGATACCAGGAAAGCTGAAGAATACGAAGCATGAGCTCTAGATAACAGCACATCGGTGCAAACAGCCAATCATGGCAACTGTGCCACCCCAATGGGGATGCTAACAGTGGTACCAAGGGTACATGGCAGCTCTCTGTACTACATTCACAGTTTTTCTACAAATCTAAAACTGTACTAAAAATGAACAGTTTGCTTTGAAAAGTAGTACATGTAGCTAAGCACAGCAGTTGGTGTGTGCCTATAATGCCAGCACTCAGGGAGGCTGAGGCGGGAGGATTATAAAGAATTTAGTGACCTAGCAAGGCTCTGTTTCAAAATAAAAACAGGCAGAGGATAAGAATGTAGTTCTGTGTGAAGACCCTGGGTTCAATCTCCAGAAACACAAACACACACACACACACACACACACACACACAGAGTAGTACTTGTTTATTGTACCAAATACGGAAAAAGTAGAGCATTCAAGATCATAGCCCAGAGACAACACGGTTAGCATCAGTGCATTTCCTCCTCCCTTGGTTTAGACGTATCCTGTTTCTACAGATGAAATCTGTATACTTTTTTTTTATCACAGCAGGTGTAAGTTTTTACCCTGACACGAATTTCTAAGATGGAATTCCAGGAGCACAGGGCAGGAGAGGCCAGGGAGGGAGAGATTTCCAGGCCAAGGGGTCCCCTGGGGCTCCACGCCCAGAGCCAACAGTGAAGGACACTCGAGGCTGACCAGCCAGGTTAGGAGTCCCCCGACGTCCTTTGCATGCAGATGTGAGTACCCGGAGAATGCTCCCCAAAACACCTGCACGATCCCAGCCCCTGGAGCCAGAAGCCGAAGGCCTGGCTTCCCCATTGGGCCTGAAAGTGGCTTCTCGTAATAATAACGTGCCCACTGCTCAGCAAAGCATGACGTTCTCCCAGGACATCAAAGGCCTGATTTAACCTTCCCCGGAGGGTTTGTCACATCCACAAATAGCTCACAGTGCAGAGCCGTCACCCACGGCTGACTCCAGATGACGGCCAACCTGGGCAATTGGCACATCTGCACGGTGCTATCTCTTACCAGGCAGATGTTCGAGGCCTTGTCAGTACACCTGCCACCTGATGGCTGGGCAGTGGGAAAGCCCCTAGCCCCTGCCCTTTCTGGGAAGGAGCGAGGGCCTCTCACCAAAGGGACAGGAAGACAGGGCCCCACTGGAGTCAGCTGAAGACCCCAGCCCAGGGACGACCAGCTGGGCCTGTCCAGCTTCTCTTCTGTTCTTGTGCCTCCTCTGGCTCTAGAGTATTCCATGGCTCCCCATGACTCACATTATAGGCAGTGATTCTCTGGTGGGAGCCATCATGCCCCAGGTCTAGGGACACAGGTGGCAGGTAGGGTGGTGCTGCTGGCATCTGGTGGACAAATGCCAGAGATGCTGCTCAGCTTCCTAGAAGCACAACTATCCGGCCCCAAATATCCATGGTGCACTAGACAGAAGGTCCAGATTCTTAGCTGGCCACTCACAGCTTCCATCACCGCCTCCTCCCCCAGCCTCCAGTTGGTTTTTGCAGTGGCCCCTGGACAAGTCCCACACACAAACCTTTGCACACCCGTTTTTCCTCCCCCGTCCACACCTGCCTGGCCAGGCTGCACCTCCTGCCCACCGAGCCAGCTCCAAGGTGAGTTCCCGATCACTCGGCCAGAGCCTCCAGCTCTGTGCACAGGGACTGTACCTAGCTTCGCCGCTCAGAGGTGAGGACCTGGCTAGGCACTCAAGAGGAAATCTGCAGTCACACTGCACAGGCCTGCACAGAGGACATTAACCTAGCGTTCATCACCAACACTGAGGCATCAGCAGCCAAGATGTGAAAGCTCCACAAGTCAGAAGCGCCACAGCCAGTGCCCGCATTCCTCTGCAGCAACAATCACCGGAAGCAGGGCAGCCACTGGGGTGGACAGAGCAAGAGTCCCCCACAGATCCCTCTGCCCACCGAAGCCATTCCTGTGACCTGCCTGGACCCTGGAGGCCTCCACGTCGGACACCCCCATGCAGCCAACCCCTGATCACCTCCCAAACACTCCGACTTTATGAAGGGGAACCAAGCTGAAAGACAGGATTGTCCAAAGCCACACAGACAGAGACAGAGCTGGGGTAGGGACACAGGGACCTTTTGCAGAGAATCTGCCCACCACACTGGCCTTCTAAGTGTGCTGCACTCTTAGGGGCTGAAGCCCCAGAGGACTTTATGTGGGGACAGAGGAGATGTCATTTGCCTCTCAGGTCTTGCACTGGCAAGAGCTGAGCTCCTCCAAAACTGGAACCTGGGACCCGAAAGCTTGGGTCCAAGTGCATTGGTGGCGTTGGCGTGGCCTGTCCAACACACCACTAATAAAGCACTGTGAGCCAAACACTGTTCTGTGTGCTTTGTAAGCATTATCTCTTTGACCCTCACAACAACCTTATCAGGCAGGCATTATTTTCATCCTCATTTATCAGATGAGGAAACAGGCACAGAGAAGGTAAGTAAGTTGCCAAGGCTGCACAACTAAGAAGCGGGGAAGCCAGGGTTGCACGCTGGAGTCTGGATCCAGAGGCCGTCTGCTAACTGCTGCATGGCAGCAGCCCGTGAAAGCTGACTTCTGACACAGCCCTGGCCATGCTGTGTGTGACGAGAAGCGGACGCAGCCAACTCTCAGCAGTTTGCAGCCGCCCACCACAGCCGGCCACCTTGGGCTCATTTGAGGAAGCCCTTCCAGGCCCCTGGGAGAACTGTTAGCCACAAGCTCTGAGCTTCCCTAGCAAGAAGATACTGGGCCTGGGGTAGCTGGGTATGGCCCGGAGTTGGGTGTGGGGTGTGGATCTGGGCAGGACCCAACAGGGACACTGACCTTCTACCACCCAAGTCAGGTGGGAAACCTTGACCTGAGGGCCACACTGAGATGACAGGAGACAAAGGCCACACCAGGCTGTGCACACCACTGCCCAAACAGGAATCCCTAGAGCTGCTCCTTTACTCCAAGGGAGCCAGAGCCAGGCAGTTACCCTACAGGTCTGCATGGGATCTCCTGCTCTCTTTGCTGGGAGGAGGCCGGGGCTTGGCTGAGAGAGACTCGGGCTCAGCCCCCTGCCTCCAGTGGAAGCACAAGGAAGAGGTTCCAACCTCAGAGTAGTCCAGGCCTGTCCAGGCCAGGAAGAAGAAATTGGACCTGGGCCCGTGGCACGATCCTGGAATGACCCCTGCCTGCACTCCTCCCAGATCCCTGCCTCAAAAGCACTTTGCCATCTGCTGCTGCGCCTGCGATACCCCTGGGGCTGCCATTCTGCTCCATTTGGGGGAGGCAGGAACTGAGCTCCAGAGGGAACATAAGTTACCCTGGCTTGGAAGAAAGACTCCTCTCTACACTGCTCTACTGCGCTCCCTCCCCAACCTGACAGAGGGGGAACTGAGACTTGAAGTGGGAAAGGATTTGTCCAGGGCCCCATGGGACAGCTGTCCTCCCATCAGAGAGGCTCAGCAGATCAGCGGTCTCTCACACACACGCACATGGACACAGTCACACAGCCCCTGGTCAGCGGCACACTCACCACATGGTAGATGGCCAGGGCAGTGGTGGCGATCCTGACATTGAAGCAGCAGCAGATCTGGCGGATGGGAGCCGCACGGCGGGGCATGGTGCTGCGTCCCCTCCTCTGAGGCACTGAGGGGAAGGAGCCAGCGCCCAGAACTAGGCAGAAAAGGAGAAGCTGCAAACTGCCTGCCTTACTTCCGCCCTGCCACAGACAGCAGGGCCACAGGCGTCACAACTGGGCGGGGTTGCTGGGAAGAGGGTGGGGGGACCACAGCTGCCTCAGAGAGACCACAGGCCCATTGCCACTCAGGGGCCAGGGAGGTTAGAGCCCACACCCTCGGCACTTAGCCTAGCCAGGGCTGGGCTACACAGTGCCTCCTGCCCTGGATGCTCACAAACGCCCTTGGAAGCCAGGATAGTAGCCAAACCCATATCTAGATAAAGGTCTGGGCATGATGGTGCATGCCTATAATCCCAGAACTCTCAGAGGCTGAGGCAAGAGGATTGCTGTGAGTTTGAGGCCAGCCTGGGCTACACAGTGAGACCCTGTCTCAAAGCAAACAAATAAACAAAAACAAAAAGGGGGAGCCATGCTGGGAATGTGGCTGAATGGGAAGATCCTGGATTCAATCCCCAACACTGAAAAGAAATGGAAAGGAAAAAGAAACAAAAATCTAGAGAGGTTGAGACACTCACCCAAAATCACATAGTAGTTAGTACTAATGGCAGGATTCAAACCCAAATCTATCTAGTTACAAAACTATTGTCAAGTAAGTACTTTCCTCCTGTTCTAAGCATACGCATGGATTACTTCCTTTCTGCCTCTCCTCAAGCCTTGGAGTGAAGTGCTATTACTATCCCTATTTTGCTGATGAAGAAACTGAAGCACAGAAAGGGGAAATGATTTGTCCAGGTCACCCAGCAAGTCAAAGAAGGAGCAGGGAGTTGAGCCAGGGTGACTGGCTCTACAGGTGTCCCTGGAGCTGATGTTCTGTCCCCTCTCTGTCCCCCACCCCAGCCATAGGGAGAAGCATGCTTTGCTTAAACCCTGCAGAGGTGGAAGTCCCCAAGCCAGGACAGAGTCACTGCTAAGCAGAGCCATTGACCAAGCTCAGGCACTAAGTGAGGCTCTTCCTCCAGGTGATCTGTAATTCCTCCTATCAATCTGGACTCCCTCCATCCAATTCCTCTTTCTGGGCCTCAAGACCCCTGATACATGAAATCAGGATTTTTTTCTCCCTCACTCTTGAGAAAAGTCAGAATTCATAAACTTTGACCACTAAGCAAGTTACCTTAGACCTTTACTCCCTTCTCGGTGATAAACTATTCATACAGCAATAAAGGAAGAGAATACAAAGCAAAATGCCTGTAAGAAGTTTCTAGCAGATAGCAGAGCAAGAAGTGCTATGAAGCCCCACCCCTACACTTGACATCATGGGGTTTGGATTGGATACCACACCAGTCCATCATTTCCCTCTTAGTATAGGTTATAAAAAGTCTGTAAGCCCCTCTCCCTTGGCAAGAGTGGATCTGTTAGATCTACAAAACTTGACTGTTAGACTTGATCAAATCCTTTTCTGTTTGTCTTTGAAACCAAGGGGGTTTTGCAAGATTGAGGCCCTGGAAGACCCAGCTAATCCTTTCTTACTTCATTTTCAAGCCTGATTCTTTTCCTTCATGGGTGTTAGTGAGACCTGACATCCTAGCAAGCCCTGCAGTTGTGAGCATGCCTGGCCTAGGGTCAAATTCCAGCACCCTCTGGCTGCATAGCCAAAGCAATAAGAGAAACAGCAAGGCCAGAGGAACTAGAGATTGGGAAACCATCCTGGGCCCTGAGTCTATGCTCAGGTTTCCACATTTCAATGTGCTAGGAAGCCATTGGAAGATTTCATATCATAAGAAATGATGGGCATTGATAGCATTATGATTTGGCAAAACCAGAGCAGGTATGGAGCCAGTTTCCAAAGACAAGCATGAAACACACAGATGGTGAGTGACATAATTTTATGTGAATTGAGAATGAACATTTTTCATTTTGAGAGTGATAAATTTATTTTTTTCTTTTGTAATTTCTTAATGGCTGAAATAGTTCTGAGATTATTACAGAATAGTTAGTGAGGAGATGGCAGTGTCCTTACTGACGAATCTATTCTTTGTGTGACTATTTGAAGTGAAGTTGATTTGTGTTGCAGATAATATTAGTTTTGAAATTTTAGGGAGAGGATGATTTTTCAATGAATCCCCCCAAATGATTTATAAAATTTTATTTTTTCAAAGCAAAACATTTATTGGTACATTTTAGATATACATAATGAAAGGCCAGGGATTTAGCTCAGTGGTTCTGCCACCTGCCTTGCAAGCGCAAGGTCCTGAGTTCGATCCCAGGTACCAAAAAACATTTAAAAAATAGATATACATAATGATAACATTCATCATAAGGAACTTGTACCTGTACATGATACATTTTGCTTCTTTTTTTCCCATTCCCCCCTCCCTCTTCCCCTCCTTATTTACAAAAGCTTTGTTTCTTTCCATTTTTTCCTTCTATTCTCTTTTTTTCTTGTCCCTTCTTTCCTTTCCCCCTCTGTCCTCCTTGTTCCCCTTCCCATTTGAACATTTTCTTCCCATTTCCCCATATCTATTACATATTTTGGTCCTTATTTCCACTTTCAGTTTCTCACACCAGAGAAACAATGCAGTATTTAAATATGTGTGTCTGATATTTCACTGAAGAGTATGGACTCAAGGTGCATCCATTTAGCCAGAAATGTCTCAAGCTCATCCTTTTTTCACGGCAGAGTAGTATGATAAATTTATTTTAATGTGCATTATAAATATATATACAACTAGCCCATGAATTCTGCGATTTTTCCACTTATAGGAGTAATATAGCTTCGTTTTAAAGCAGATGCAATTAAACTAAAAGGCAGCAAGCCGATTTAAAGAAAATACTAAGAAACCTTAGCATGCACACAGATGTGGCAGACAGCCATGGAGGTGGAGTGGGCATTGGTTTGCGAATCACAGGCAAGGGAAATCCCAGCTCCCTGTAGAGTAGTTCTGTGATCTCAGGAAAGACACTTGATCTCTCTGAGCTATTGTTTCCACACTTGCTAAATGAGGGGGCAGGAGTCTGCCAAGCAAGGCTGCGGTAAAGATGAAATCAGGTCACGTGGGTGCATCTGTTTGTTTCTTCCCTCCCCTGCCTCCCTTCCCCCCATCTCCACCATTCGCCGCCGGCCACTGGCAGAGACAGAGCTGGGATTTGAACCCAGCCTCCAGCACATGCAGGTCCCTAGCTGGAGCCCTTACTCAGCCCCTGTGGAATGCAAGCCTGGCCTCCCCACAATTCCCTAAGCAGGGAATGACTATTATCTCAAAGTAGGAGCCTTTAGCCAAGGCCACTGTAGTAGGCAAAATAAAGCACCCCACACTTGCGCACACACACACCTCCTAATCTCTGACTGAACCTGGTGGTGTTTGGTTATGTCAATCATCTCACGTGGCAAAGGAACTTCATAGGTGTGAGTAAATTCAAGGTCTCAGGATGAGGAATTTATCTCGGATTATTCAGAGAGGCCCAATGTGATCAAAGGGGGCCCCACAGGGGCCCCCTTTTAGCTCAGCAGTACCACGCCTGCCTTGCAAGCACAAGGTCCTAAATTCAATTCCTGGTACCAAAAAAAAAAATGGGGCCCCACAAGTAAAAGAGGGAGACAGGAATATCAGAGTCAGGAGAGATTAGAAGATGCCACACTGCTGGCCCTGAAGATGGAGGGAGGGCCCACAAACCAAGGAATGCAGATGGTTTCTAGAAGCTTTTTGAAAAGGTCAGGAAACAATTTTCTTCTAAAGTCTCCAAACCTTGATTTTTGCCCACGGAGAACCATTTTGGCATTCTGGCCTCCAGAACTGTAAGATAAATTTGTGCTGTTTGTGGCCATTTGTTTCAGCAACAGTAGGAAATGAATACAGTGCAGTCCATGGTGCAGCTGAAGCCCCCAAACACCCTCCACGGAGACCACAGTCTCCTCCACACAAGTGCAGCCCATGACTTCCTCGCTGTGTAACACCAAGAAAGCTGTGAGCCTCTCTGGGGCTCAGTTCCTTCCTGCACAAGGTGGGGATGACGCTAATCCCCATCTCCTGTGTGAGGATCACATACGAACGTGCGCACTCAGGGACAAGACTACAGTCACCCCGTATTCACGCTCTGCCTATTTCATTACAAATCACATGCTCTGAGCTGCTGGGGATGGAACCCGGGGCCTCTGCACTTTTCATTTTTATTTTGAGACAGGGTCTCACTAAGTTACCAAGTCTCCCAAACTGAGCTTGAGTTTGTGATCCTCCTGCCTTAGCCTCCCAGAGTGCTGGGATTACAGATGCGTGCCACCATACCTAGCTCCAACCAAGTTTTATATCCTCCTTGCTGACAGGTGGACTCCTGGGAAACTCCAAACTCATCAACCTGAGAAGAAATGGTCCCATTGTTCACAGCCAGGACAGGCCTGAATCAAACCTGCTTGGGACACTGTCCTTGCAAACCTTATTTCTGACCCGGGAGTCTTCTATGACTCCCTGACTTGGAGGTTGATTCCCATATCCTGAAAAGTCATCTGTACTCAGCAAAGTCCATGTTTCTGGCTGGCTGACCTGCTCCATCATTTCCTGCCGGGGCATATTAATATTTAAACATTCATCTTGGTTTCCTCAAAGGCAGAATTACTTTTGCGCTTTCTTTGTGAAGCCAGAAGAACGTTATTGGTACTTCCCTCCCCACCCACAAGTCTAGAGGTAAAAATAGAACTCCTTACTCTGCCAGGTTTCATGCTTAAACAAAGAGTTTGGGGCCATGTGTCTTTTCGATTAATCCAGATAAGGCTTTTGGGAGGGCTGGGGTCAAGTGCAGTCTGCACAATGGGGACCATTTTGATTGTGATTGTTGCTAGGATTATTTCTGTCCTCAGCTAAACCCTTCCCCAGGGGATCCTCCCCGAGCCCCAGCCAGAAGAAAAGAAAGGGGAAGTGTTGATTTTCTGACCCCAGGGCCAGTGGCCTGTGGCAGGCCACACAGCTGGTCAGCGGCAGAACCTTTTAGAAAGCAGATACTCCTTGGGGACAGTGGGTTGGGAGGCAGAGGCTGAGGGACACATCAGGGATCTCTCCCTGCTGCAGGGCCTCTTCCTGCCTTGCCGCT